TCTCAGGGTGAGGAAGGCTCTTGTCCAGGGTCACACAGCTAATAATGAGTAGAGCCAGCATTCAAGTTGCGTATATTATTGTTATCTATTGATGCCTATCTTGTTACCTAGAGTAGCCTAAAAAAATCAATAAACATTATCTCACAGTTTCTGTGGGTCAGAAATTCAGAAAGGTGACAGTGGGAATATCTCTGGAAAATGTGAAGGCAAGGGCTGGAGTCATCTGAAAGGTCTGTACGTGGTAGGTCTTGGCTGTCAGCAGAGACAGCTAGGGCTGTAAACTGGAACTCCTACACTGGCCTCTCAGTGTGGCCTGGGATTCCTCATGACATGGTGACTGAGTTTCAAAGACAAATGTTCTGAGAGAGAGAGATGAGAGAGCCAGTTAGGTTGAATCTGTATTTTTCTTCTGACTTATCCTTGGAAGTCACATAGCATCACCTCTCATATCCCATTGGTCTGGGCAGTCTCAAAGCGGTGTCCAGATTCAGGGGGAGGAATCAGTGACCCCACTTCTTAATGAGATGAGTGTCAGTCACATTGTAAAAAGAACACTTGGGATGGGATAAATATGTGGTTGCCGCCGCCTTTGGAAAAAATGATCCACCACATCTTGTCTGCCTAATCCAAAGGAAGTGTTCACTCTACTTCACCACACTGTCTACCCTCCCAAGCTGATCACCCAGTCTTGTCTGTTCACTGACTTTCAGCTTCTTACTTGGCCTTCTGGACACTTCAGGGCCAGCTGTGGTCCCACACTTAGCCCTTTCTGCAACTGTGGCTCTTACTATCATCCTTTGTAATTTTAGGCCACTCTGGACAGGGACTTTTTGTTTATTCACTCAGACTTTTGAAGAAGGGAATTCTGTTACTTTGCACTTCATGGTCCATTAACTGAAGGGGAATCAGGATGAACTTCACGTCATGTGATTCCCCAAATAGGGGTGTTATTCAAAACACTTTACCAGTATGGCATCCACTTACGAGGCCCACTGGAGCAAGAAAGGAAACACTAGAGGCTGTCACATGCAGGATTAGCCCCAGCACCACTGGCCCCATGTGGTGACACCTACGGGGGCCAGGCACTGTGCCAGGGGCTGTGACACAGGTGAGTGAGGGAGACAGTCATGCTGAAGTCACACTCATGCAGCACAGAGTACCTGCTCATGTTTAGAGTGTAGGGGAGGAAGAATAATCTTTTTCTTTACCCATCTTGGGTTCTCTAGCAGGGGTCCTGTAAACTAGACTGGCAAAAGACAGATTAGCAAGAGAGAAATAAAGAGAAGTTTGTGTCACACACGTACACGTGGGAGCGCCCAGTGATGAGCAACCCAAAGGGGTGGTTAGGACTGGGGATTATGTATGGTCTTAGGCTAAACAAAGGAAAAGGTGTTTGGGCTTCTGGGTGAGGCTGCAGAGGCAAGTAATATGAAGGTGATCAGGAAAAGGAGTAAATAAAGTGGTTTAGTAAGGATTGTTATACACATTTAAGTCCATGTCTTCTCCATTGACAAAAAAGTTGAGTCCTTCCTCCTACAGGAGAGGGAGGGACCTCTACAAATGTAAATTTCCTTTAAGGAAGGAAAACTCATGCCTTGTTTTTAGAGCTTTTCCAGCATCTGCTTGTCCTCAATAGCCTTTAGCTCAAAATAACCCATCTGCCAAAGAAGCCTATTTTGGGGTAGTATATTCTGATGACCTTCAAAGTTGTTAATTCCACATAGGGGAAACTAGGAAGGCTGGCTTCGCCAGGAGTGGAGGGATGCAATGGGAGCTGGGCCCTGTACATCGGTTCCTAGTCATGATTCAGTGAGCTTTTCAAGAAGTGACCTGGTGACTAGAATAGGCAACTAAAACTCTGAGGTTCTAGAATTATATCCCTTAAATGTTTCCAACTCGTGTTATATCAGGTGGATAGGTAAGCGCCCTCCCTCACGAGGCCCAAATCTTGTTGTATTAAAGCATCTATAAAGGATCTTTTTTTCTAGTTGTATTCAATTTAGTATCTTCTATAAAGTCCTAAAATAATCTATACCTTCCTCATGGTAAAACTGTGGTGTCATAAGAAAGCCTGTGCCCACCTGTGTGTGCAGTGTCAATGAGAAATGACACTAGGCTTTGTGGTGGAGAAAAATTGGCTATGTTATGAATGGCGCCACCCAGGGGATCAGGAAAGCTAATGCTCAAAAGCCCAAACTCTTAGATGGCTTACAGACAAGAGGTTTTATAGGGCAAAAATCATAAGTAATCATGAATAAGGGATTGGGATTGTGGTCTCATTGATTGGTCCCTGATTAGGTAAACCGTTAATTTTCATCTTCCAGTCATTTGCTTCCCTCATGGAGTTGCTTTGTCAGGTTTCAGGGAGATGGTAGGGTCGTTGGTCACTTTCTGGGGTGAAAAACATCTTAACAATGTGTATTAATAGATTAACTTGGTGTGTAGGAGTGGAAGTTATACATCTTATGACCCTTATTCATTGTACGCTATTATTATTTCTGCTGTCTTGGTTATTTATCCCCCTCCCCAACAGTCTAACAGGACCTAGGGTAAGTAATTTCTATTATGATTAACAAGCTGCTGTATGACTTCCTTTCTGCGGCTGTTAGTCCAAACTAGTTGACAAACCTATTTTGTATTAAGTATATTTTTTTCTGGGGATATTAATTCTCCAGCTTAGTGTAACTCCTTCCCCCACATGTTCCCATTCTTATGCACAACATGCTTTAGCTCTTTCCATGCAGTAAACCAGCAAATATTTCATATTAATTTTGTTCTCTCTGCTGTGGTTCAAACCTCTAGGAAGAATTCTCTGATCTCCACACCACCCAAGCGCTCATACAGTTTATTATTTTGCTTCCAACTCAGTTGTATAAATGTTGCTTCTGTAAATTTGCCTGTGACCATCTCTATCTCCTTTGGACCTGCCGAGGACCATGATTGAGTAACCTATGTTGGATTTTCTCTTAGAGTATCCAGTAGATAACTTTCCACATTGAATTAATTTGAGATAACATGTTAGTCCTGAAGCTGATGTTATTCGTTTATTCAGCAAATCAGGTTTCATTATAACAGATTCTATTAGATGGCTTCATTTAATTGTCTGTTGTATTTTCCCCCTAGAGTCTGTCCCCTATAGTAAAAAGGACTCTACTATACACGAACATTAGGGCCTCTGGACTTAGGAAGCTGATAAACAGGCAAAGATAATAAATTTCTCAGGTCAGTGAAAGAAAGAGGATAGAAAGGGTTATGAGGAATTACATAAGTGACTTGAAAAGTGGAATTAAGGTTAGTATTATTTATAGGACTGAGATTAGTATTATTAAATGTAAAATGGGGGATCTACATTGAAATCAAGAAGCAGTCTAACAATGAGGCTGAGGAGATAATAAGATTATTACATGGATGGCTAAAATGAAGATTAGGATTAAAATAGAGTTAAGATGATGTTCTGTACTGATGCCAGGGTAAATGTCGAATCAAAGCCAGTTTGTGTTGGGACTAGAATAAAGTTAGGATTTTCCTAGCTTTTCTTGTTTTATCAGCACGTACCCAAGAAGAATTTGGTATTGTTGCCACTGCCATGGAAAAGCTGGGCAATAGCAACTATGCAATTGGCCCTCCAGAGCCCTTTACATATTCTTTGGAAAGATTCATTAATTCATTCATGTATTCGTTTATTTATAGAATTAATTGGGTGCCAATTTCCTGCAATATTCTCATTCTTACCTTCTGGGAGTATGAAATCTAGGGGGACCTAAGCCAGGAACACACACCATGAGCTGTAACAAAACTTCTTCCAAGTGGGCTTTTGTTTTTTGTGTCCATGGGATGTTTTGAGTCACTTAATAAACTCTTATTCCAGGGAAGCAAACCTCCTTTAACTGGGGATCAAATTAGATGTATTTCTAGATTGGGATGATTTCCTCAAAGTTTATTGAGAGGTTGAGACTTCTCACTTGGGCTGGGAAGGCATTATTTGTACCAAAAGTCAGGGTTAACAGAATGGAGACTTGAGTCAGTCCTCCTGGGTCCAAATCTCTGACATTTTAAAACTGCTACTTAAACTGTCTGATTTAGTTTCTGTATCTGGAAAAGGATAACAATATATGCGTCATACTATTGTTATAGGGATTAAATGAATCAATGCATATAAATTACTTTAAATGGTATTTGGAATATCATAATTACTATATAAATACTTAATAATAACAATAGAATAATTGTCTTTCTGAGCAGAGTACAGGGCTGGTGACCTTGGAGATGTTTTAGGTCAGGAGTCAGGGATGCCGTACACAATACCATATTTTGCCAATAGATGGCAGTAAGGCCCCCATTGTCAAAATTGTCCCGACAGCCTAAACATTAAAACATTTTGGTCTCTGAGCTGTTTGCCTGCAATCTTTTGCACTGTAAAAGGAGAAATGCTAGGACTGAAGAAGTTAAATTTTCTCCCTAAGGTTCTGATCTGGCTTTAAGCCTAAGGATGTTGGGAAATTTGCTTAGGGCATGAAAGCAACAGTGTGTTTGAGAGGTTGCCTGACTGGAAGTCATGGGGCCTGGTTGTTAGTTCTAGCACTGTATTCTTGGATGACTTTCTGAACTTACCTGGGCTTCAGCTGCCCCACTCCTTGCTGTTATTTAGGGAGATAAAATAGAACGAGAATGCAAAACAGACATAAAGAGGTAGAAAAATACTTGAAGGAAAAGCAAAGAAGATATGGTAGGAATTAGAAATGGAAGTGAAGAAATAGTGACATGGCAAGGGAACTGAGATAGAAATAGAAACAATAAAATTAAGCACATCAAAGATGAAAAGCATTAAAAATAGAGAAAATAGAAAATATTCAATTTGATTCATATAATGTTTCATGTAGAGATATGTTCTTCTTACCATCTTTTCAGTGTCTCCAACGCCCCGCTACACACACAAGAACATACATGCATACACATATGGCTGCCATTCATTGTTGTGACATGACGAGTATGAGGAAGGCAGAGGTGTGGGGAATACTAACTCCCTGACAAAAGCGTGAAAAATCTCTCAATTTGAAAGCACATCAAATAGCTCTCCCTCAGCTCTTCCTGGAGTCCCTGGCCTTCCCCAGCAACCTTCTAAATGCCCTCTTTACCTCCTTGTTCCTCAGGGTGTATATGAGAGGGTTAAGTAAAGGAGTGCCCACTGCATAGAAGAGACTAAAGAACTTGCCCCTTTCTTGGGCATAAGGATTTTTGGGTTGAAGGTAGACAGCAATGACTGAGCTGTAGAAGAGGGTGACCACAGTGAGGTGAGAGGAGCAGGTGCCAAAAACCTTCCTCTGCCCTTTTTCAGAGTTAATCCTTATTACTGCCCGGGCAATGACACCGTAGGAAACAAGGATGAGACTGAGGGGCACAACTAAGATGAAGACACTGGCAATAGCCATTTGGATTTCATTGTATGTGGTGTCCCCGCAGGAGAGTCGAATTAGAGCTGGGACCTCACACAAAAAATCATCTACCTGCCGGTGGGAGCAGAAAGGCAGTTGGAGAGTGGGTGGTGTCTGGACCACTGACTCCACCAGCCCAATGACCCAGGCCACAGCTGCCAGCCGCCAGCACAGGCGAGGATGGATGATGGTGGCATAGTGGAGGGGCTGGCAGACAGCCACATAGCGGTCAAAGGCCATCACTGTTAGAAGGATGCATTCAGTGGTCCCCAGGAAGAGGAAGATGAAGAGCTGAACAGAGCAGCCCAAGAAGCTGATGGTCTTCTTTGGGCCCCAGAGGTTGACCAGCATCTGGGGGACACAACTTGTGGTGAAGCAGAGGTCCAAGAAGGAGAGATTGGAGAGGAAAAAGTACATTGGCGAGTGGAGCCTGGGGTTTAGCACAGACAGCAGGATGATGAGTGTGTTTCCCATCAGAGTCAGGAGGTAAGAAATCAAGACAACCACAAAGAGGATTCTTTCCAGTCTTGGATGTGCAGAGAAGCCCAGAAGGAGGAAGCCCCCTGGGGAGCTTTGGTTCACCATGGCCCGTTCCTGTCCAGACCCAGAGGGGTGAGAGTTGTCAGACCAGCGCATTCTAACCTGTCTTATGAAAACTCACCCTAGGTACTTGGCAAGTCATACCAGGTGGATGTTTCTCTTCCTCTTCTTCTCACTCAGCCTCTCTTTCCCAGGTACATCACCACTGAGAAGCTCCTCTCTTTCCCTGTTCCTCTTGGTCAAATGTTGTCTAGTGGGAGTGAAGAAACCATAAATGTAATGGAAAACAGATGAGCTTCACGTTGGTACTTCAGACTTACAGATTGAATGTAAAGGAAGTTGATGTAAAACATGGTTTGATGAACCAATTAATTCTGCTTACATTTATTGAGTGCCACTTTGTTTTGAGCACTATTCTAAATGTTGTATTGTCCCTAATGTATTTGTTGGAAGAACTAGCAAAGTAATATATTTTCAATAAATTTTCTGATTATAAATCATCTCTGTAGAGCTGATCATTTCCCTATTGATCAGATAAATTTTGTAGAACTATTTATTATGTTTCATGTATTTTATGCTTCTCTATTTGTAAGGGAGCTTATCAGAGATAGACCATTTCAACTACAGGAGAGATTTTCCCTTTGTGTCTAGTGCCCCTTGCTACTTTTCACAAACAGATTAGTTTGATTGCCTAAATCACTGAACCACAGTCCTGGTTGGAGGAACTGATTCACATGCTCAGTTCCTGCCATGAGAAGCTAACAGGCAGGAGGTAAGGGTGGCCCCATGCACACTGAGATCACTGAGGAGTTCACAGATACATTCTCAAAGACTCCAAGATTTAAAGGCCAGTAATACCAACATACTGAGTGAATGAGAGAAAATGTCAGTAAGGTGAAGACCAGTTTGGGTGGATATATCAGGGAAAGATGATATATCTTCCTAGGGGAGGTAACTGAAGTATTGAGGCATAGAAAGCCAACTCAGAGATGGGGTGGGAAGCTGCAACAACTCTGGCATTTGAGAGATAAGGACTTAGGGTTTCATGGTTTTAGAAGATTTTTGGAAAGCCATTGAGGTGAGATGGTGGGGCAGCTGGCAAAGGTGCCCTGGGAGCTTACAGAGTGGTATGAACATTTCCCCATAACAGGGTTCCCATCTGAGTTTAAGCTCCACTGCATCGCCTTTTTGCCAGGAATTTTTGCTCTGTATCTTTTTTGGTTTGTTCTTTCTTTTTCTCCCAATGTTCTTTTCTCCCTTATAAGATATATTTAAAAAATTTTCCATATTGTTTTGTATTCAAACAAAAGTGTGAGTAAAGCAAATTTCTATAGTTCAAAGAATAAAGTCAACTCTTTGTATGCTCACCAACCAGATTGAAGAACTAAACAAATGTTTTAAGTATCTTGAAAGCTCCTGTATGCCCCTCTGTTACTGCTCACATTACCTACCCACCAAGATGTAACCACTGTTCTGAATTATACATAATTATTGCTTTGTGTTTTTTTGAGATATATGTCGTATATTGTAAAGTTCACCCTTTTAAAGTGCATAATTTAGTACTTTTTAGTATATTCACAAGTTGTTCAGCCAATACTATCAACCTCCAGAACTTTTCACCATTTCAAAAAGAAACCTCATGTTTACAACCAGGCCATCCTGAACATGCCCAATCCTGTCTGAACGTGGAAGCTAAGTAGGGTTGGTCCTGGTTAGTACTTGGATGGGAGACTACCTAGGAAGACCAGGTGCTGCAGGTATAAAACAAAACAAAACAAAACAAAACAAAAAACACCACATGCCCATTGGCAGTCACCCAGTCTTTTGTTTTCTTTCTAATATATAATTCTTTGTAACCCTAAACAATAGCCAACTGTTTTTTATTCATCCATCAACTATTATCCCAATCAATTTTTTTTTTTGCATTTCTAACTTTCTCATTCTCTTGGTATTTCACTCCCTTTCTTTCTCTGCCTTAATACTGAGTCTCTTTAGATTACTTCTTCTTTAGTGACTCTCCCCTTTGTCACTCTTTTGATCTCTGTTTTTCCCACTCTTTCATTTACCATTTTTCTGCTAGTTCTTTTCCCTCTGACACATTCATTCATCAGTTTATGCATTTATTCATTTCTTGAGCCCCAAAGAGGGCCAACATTGTGCTAGGAGCCAGGGCAATGGATGTGTGTGTGTGTGGGGCGGGGGTGGTCAAATCAAAGGAGTTTATGATAATGCAATGATTGTTACCTGTTATTTCTACTTATGTACCAAGTATTGGTACCAAGCAGTTCCTTGATCACCTGGTTCTCGTAGCAACCCTACAAAATAGATATGATTGTCCCAATTATATCAAGAAGTGAACAGTCTAAGAGAGGTTAAATAACTTGGCTAAGGTCACCCAGCCAGTAGGTGCCAGGGCCAAGATTCTGAATTCTGTTTAACTTCAAATCTGGTGTTCTACTATTGAGGACATGCAGAAACTGATGTTTCCTAGGAAAAGAATGAGCTTTTTTCTTACCCTCAGTCAAATAAAAATCTCTTCTGCTAAACCACATCATGTAGGATATAAATCTAAAAGCAACAAATAAACATGACAAACAAACAAAGAGTCATGGATGTAGGCAGTAGACTATTGGTTACCAGAGGGGAGTGGGACAGGGAGGAGGTAGATGGGGTAAAATGAGTCAAATATGTGGTGACAGAAAGAAATCTGACTATGGGCAGTGAACACACAATGCAATATGTAAATTACTCACTGTTGAATTGTACACTTGAAACTATTGGATTTTGTTAACCAATGTCACCATAATAAATAGAGAGAAAAAAAGAAAAGAAAAGAAAAGGAAAAAAGGAAATAAAGAAAAGTTTCCTACCACTGATACCCTGGTTTGCAGGAGAAATTGGTTTCTTGGCTTCTACTACATAATCCAATATACCTTGTGTTATTTTGCTGTTGCCTTGATGTTTAGTTTCCAACAAAACTTTCTCCCTCTCTCTCTCTTTTTTGTCCATCAATAGGAGATTCATGCAACAAAATCTTAGATGAGAAAAATAATAAGAGAAAGTTTAAATTAAATTTATTTGCCCCAGAAAAAAGAAAAAAAAAATCTCTTCTGCTTTCAGTGATGACAAAACTCAGCCTCCATTTGGATATCAAGAGGAGAGTTTAACAAAGTAAAGAGGAATGTGCATCCTTGAATGGGCAGTTAGGTCTCGAGTAATAATAAGGATTGTTAACGCTTACTACCAGATACCTTTCAAAGAACATGTTCATGTGATGTGCCGGAGCTGGCTCATGCTAGCTCTGAATTGTTAAGTTTTCAGGAATTTTATGAGACAAGTATTAAACCATTGGTAGCTTGGATCAGCCACAGCAGGAGTATTTATACGACAGAAACAGCAAACATTTCAAATTAGGGCTCTGCATCCCCCTAACCAAGCTGGTTGTTAAACATTTACCAGCACACAACAGATTGTCCCTTACAACAACTCTGTGTGTTGTCTTCTGTTTAATATGAATAAATTGAAGCAAAGATAGTTTAAATAACTTGCCCAATGCAAGATAGGTAGTAAGCACCAGAGCTGGTATTTCAACCCAAGTTGGCTGGCTGCAGAGGCTGTGCACCAACCATGACCCACCATATCTTTGTAGGGAAGATGAAGCCAAGGAAGGTCAGAGGTATCTCTTTGCTGTGGAGCTCCTTATGAACAACTTTCCCTCTCACTCTGGGGAAAAGTTAGACTGTTTTAGTAGCAGAGGAGGTAGAAAGGTTGATATGGTGTGGTGGTAAAGGATGGGATCCCTGGACTCCCATCCCATGGAGAGGAAGAACTCATTAAGTCTGTTAAGATCCCTGAGTCTTACAGCCCACAGACAATTAATTAGCCATTAATTATTGTAGGGGTACAGGAGAATATCTAGAGGCAATAAGCCAGCAATAGTAATTACTGTGTTAGGTGAAAAGTCACCCACTACTTCTCTCTGTCTATAGGAAGAACAAGGTGGTCTCTCTACCCCACCACCTCCAGAGAGCCCCTGCAAAGCTTCCAGATGTTCCTACCAAGCTTCTGACTCAGCCATTCAGGATCCCACTTTATAAAGTTCTCAGCTTCCTCCTTTTCTATTTAACAATTCTTCTGGGTTGGACCACACTGTAGTAACACGGAATTCTAAAACCCTAGGGTTGGAAGAGCACTTAGGGCATTTAGTTTAATCCTCATATGACATAGCTGAATTCTTGTGCCTCTCCCTCATTTGAGTGGGGTTATATGGGGTCAGCTAATAAATGGCGTCTCAGCCCAGGTCCAAATCACAATGGATTTACTATGTCCATGGACTGACCCAGTAGTCATTTATGCAGTTCCTGGGTATAAAATCGGAATGCACACACTCAGTAGTTAACAGAATCTCCACATTGGTTCCTTGGTCTGTGGAGTAAGAGATATGATAGTGGGGAGATTCTTTCCCAAGTTTAGCTTTTTGAAATTCTTTTGGTTTCAGTTTATATCACAGTATATATTAGCAATCTCTGATAGTTTTCTAGCAAATAAACTATTAATGAATGAGTCAGGTAGGGAGTGAATAAGGAGCAGGGTGTTTATAATTAACCTAGTTTAATTTTTATTCTGGCTTCCACTTTGTTATGGCCATTTTGCCTGGTGACTAATGACGAGTGCTCAAACTAATTCCTACTGGAGTGTAAATTTGTAGTTACCTCTGTCCTGAGCCTACTACAGCTTAAAATTCAACACACACACACACACACACACACACACACACACAGAGAGACACACAGACACACGCACACGCACACACATTCCAACACACAATTTATTTATTTATTTGAATAGATAAGCATGCACACATGTAACATTCAAAGGACAGACAAAGATAATACAGTAAAAATCAGATTTTTCTCCCATGTCTATTCTTCTTTAAGCTACCATTTCCTTTTCCTAGAGATAACATTTGTGACCAATTTCTAATGTATCCTAGCAATATTGTATGTATATTATATTGGTGTGGGTCCAATCAGGAGACAGAAACCACACAGTGATTCGAACAGAGAAAGTTAATATAAAACATCATTAAGCTATGACAAAAGAGTAACCATAAGCTGTAAAGAGAACTCTTTAGGTACCTAGGGTTGAGGAGAGTATCCAAGGAAGGACAAAGTTGGGATTCTTCAAGTCTGGGATTCAAGTCTCACTGGAGAAGAGGTGGTAGCAGAGAAGTTCACTGGTTTGCTCAGTCCAAAGCTTGTCCACAGTTGCTGAGCAAGGAGGAAGCAATTCTTAATGGGCACAGGCAAACCATAGCTGGCAAACGGATGTATGAGTGTGCAGAGGAAGTTGGGGTGCCACTGTAAGCAGGAGGATTGGCGGGCTCAGTG